ATGTTTGTATGATTATATTTCCCCTATGTTTGATAAAGAAGACAAAGTATTTCACATTATGAAACATCTGAATTATTGGTCTGGTATTAGCTTTTTAAATTTAACCACATTTTTTTTTCAAAACAGTATCTTCATAGGCATTACTGAAATTAACTTGACAGTCCTGGGTATGTATCATTGACCTCAAGTATAATGAACAAACTGTAATTAAAAAACAGCAAAAAAAAACAGTAACTTAGCATTAAAATGTATTTTACACTGCGACATTGCGAATGTAGAATACCAAAAGCTGAGCTCCGAAACTAGAGACGACAAGACAAATGACGCAAAATGCAAACAAACAAACAAAAAAAAAGAGATTTTTACAAAGTACTAAACAAAACAATAGAAAAAATAAGAGGCAAACTAAACTTGGAAAGGTCTGTATTAAACCACCAAAAGTCAATAAACAATGTAGAAACTGGCAACCGCTTGTTTGTATATTGAAAAAAAAGGAGATTAGCGTTGCTTTACACACGCCATGTGACATTAGAGTTCTCTTTAATCTCAACTTTTGTGTATAAAATTGCTTGAATCTTTGTACGACTATCAAGGAAATTCGATACGGTATTTATGTCTGTTGCGAAGTTGGTCGCTTCATACCAGTTCATTCATTTTATACCAATTAGCCAACGTAACATTTATTTTGCTATAAATGTGCTTGATTTAAAAAGTGGTAAGGAAAATGTGTCTTGACTCCTTTCCTTTTGAGTTAGTCTTCTTTTCAAGGGGCAAACTTATTCGCCGAATCCATCTTAAATTATGTCTGCCCATTTAGGAGTTTCATTCAAATTGAAATTAAAAAAAAAACAAATGGCATACGTTATATGTTGACTACATTTATCGAATGCAGGATTGGGATAGCAGGGTCGTAGCTAGTCTCAAAGGGACGAACAGGATTTTAAAAATAATGTAAGCTACATTAAGCGAACTCGTGAAATTACAGTGTCTTAATATTCGCTGACAGTTCCATAAGTACTAATTCGTTATTAAGACTTTTATAGTGTTGATGAGGGGATTTTTCTCAGCATTTGCCATTAATGCCAGCTTTGCCTATGTATAATATATATATATAAGGACTAACACTGGGCGATGCAGTGCGTAGTGCTGAAGACAGAGAGGAATGGTGGAGGATGGTTCACATGCCATCTGTGGCGCCCCAACGGTACAAGTACTAAGGGACATGAGGATGAGCAGGATATATATATATATATATATATAACATAAAAAATCATTTAAATTTGTAACTTCAATAGCACTGCACGAGATAAATGTTGTTGGGACGGTGACATACTGGTAAAAGAAGTTTTTATGCATGACTCCTTAGAGCATGACTTGTGTCACCAAGTATTAAGCACTGGATAATTTAAGTGTCTCTATTCATAAGTCGAAATCATTGTTACACTTTTTAAGTGTACCCCTGTCTGTGTCGTGCTCTACTTTAAATACATTTCGACATATCGCTTCCTGGATAAAATTCAAAAAGCAAAGAATAATGCGGCTCAAATTGTTCTTCGAAAACGCAAATTCGACCACGCTAAAACACTTCTGAGAGAGTTGCATTGGCGGCCGGTCCGCGCTGGCATAGAGTACAAAATTGCAACTCTTGTGCTACCGCTGCTTGCATGAACTGGCACCGTCCTATCTCAAAGCGCTACTTTCGCCTTATGTACCCACTAGACAACTCCGCTCATCTGATAGTGGCAAACTCTCGATACCATGTGTTCGAATTGAGAATTATGAGGGGCTCACTTTCGCATTTGCTTGCCCAACAATTTTGAAAACTCTTCATATCGCTATCAGAAACAGACAGACACTGGAGTCTTTCAAAACTGATTTGAAGACTTATCTTTTTCGCAAACACCTGCTCTGGCGATGTTGTCTATCTAGCTATTATACTATATCTTTTAGATGTATATTGGCCTGTGTTGTTTATTGTTGCAAGGTATGAAAGACTAATAGAATGGGTATTCTTGTATGTAGTTTTGTAATCAATTTTGTACCTCAATGTGGTATGTACCGCGTTTCGAGCCTTTGTAGATGAATCGTGATTTTTAAATAATCTTTGTTATTTATTATTATTACTTTTATGAGCAATAGGATTAAGTGTGCCATAATTGGTGAGACGTAGGTTGATAGATGTGTAGGATAGAGGGAAAAAATAACTTTTTTTGGGTAGTGGAAATGTCTGGATTTTGACGTCTACTTAATTGTTTTCCTTACACAAATGAACAAAATGTCAGAAATTATTCTCTGCGGCTAACTTGTTCATGAACTTACATTGTTAGTTTCTACTGGTTAATTTGTTAGTTTCTACTGGTTACATTGTTAGTTTCTACTGGTTACATTGTTAGTTTCTACTGGTGCACAAATATAAACGTCTTACCTAAACATGGTGCTAAAAAATATTTCTTTATGATGAGCTAAACATTGTTTAGTGTGTTTTTTCCTTGACGTCTGAATGTTGTGAAACGTATCAATATTGAGTATTGATTCATGGATCAGGGTGGGCAACCTCTTACCGAAATAGCTTCACTGTATATAAATTATAAGATTTTGTATTACACTAAATGAGATTAAACACCGCAATAACTTGCGCTTCTCTTAGATTTCATTAAATGGGTCTCCCTTGAAATACATCAGTTACCTCATGATTAAGAGAAGACAGATTCTTAGAGATACATTATTTTAATAACTTCTTGTTTCTGAGTGCAAATACATAGACAGCAATCTGGTCCACAAGTTTCAAAAGTTTCATTTTATCTTCTATTCGACAGCGAAAGCCGTCTTATTAAAACATATTTTGTGTTTACACTCGGCAGAATTGTGTGAAAAAGTATGTCCGGTTTTCCATTTCAATGACTGCACAAGTTGATACTTCAAGTCAAGCTTGTTTAAGAGTAGGCAGTGGCGTAGCTAGGGGTGTGATAGGGTGTGGACCGCATCGGATGACAAAACCTTAGTGGATAATAACGAATTAAAAAAAAAACATGCATATTGCAGAGAAACACACTGCTCAATCAAACTGAATTTCATAAAAGAATAATTGATCCCTCGTAAGTTTCCCACACATCTAAACCAAAAACATTATTATTTAAAATTTCGAGGTTAATGCGACAGAAATGAGGTGACCCATAATTAGTTTTTAAAAAACACCGTTTTGACAATGCGTCCTCGCCGATTGAAGGGTTGAGTAACTTTCTTAAGCAGCAGGAAGCAATATTTATGTAAATTCTGAGAAATAAATATTTTCTTTAATACCAATTACGATGTTGTCTGACGATTCAAAGTACATGCTACAGCTGTTAAATACAATTACCTCTGACATTCATTTAATTTGTTTTTGTTTTTGTCATAGCCATACATGTAACGCGGACTTATTTTAACAAGAATAAATCAATCTCGGAAGTCGAGGGTAAGGGGGTGAGGAGGTATGACACCATGAGTTTACCACACATTGAACATGACATCCATCCTAGCTACGCCACCGAGAATATATATATCATGTAGTTGTTGTATTGTCTGCTCTTCTATACAATTTTTGACGACCACTTGAAACATAAATTATAGCCTGTTGTTTCAGTTTCGATTCTGGAACAAGTTAAACAGTAACAAGTTAAACAGTAACATGTTAAAGTGTGAAATGTAAGGCATACGTGTTCCCATAACATATTTTAAATTGTATTCAAAGTAAAACAATATACAATTTTGTTGTTTTTAGAAATCATGTAATTATTTCATCTCAAACATTTCCTGTTTTAAACGAATTACAATGTCAAAAGAAAAAAAAATACACACATATCCACATCCATCCACCCACAAATACACATATAACCACCTCCACAAACTTAAACACATATCCATCCACTTACCACCACACACACACACACACACATCCACAATATCACACACAATTTCATTCACACCAAAAAACACACAGACACCCACCCACACACACAAATCCACAAAACCTCCACACACAACAAACATCCAAACCTCATCCACACACACACATACATACATCCATGCCCACACCCACCGACACACTCATCAATACTCACACATCCGCACTAACATATTCACTCACACCACCACATTCACACTCACCAACACCTAGCCCCTCGACCACTCGTACACGCACACAATCACACACCAGTTCAAAGAACATACAATTGACATTGAGAGAAGAACAGAGGGATGAAAACACTATTATACAAATATGTGTTTGAATTATTTGTGTAAAAAAATAATAAACATTTGCAAAACTACGTATTGAAAGAAAGACATTTCTAATGTTACTGAAATAGAACCATAGATGGCGCTGCACAGCAGTAAGTAGCTAGGTGGTATGGACGACATACCTGAATTGTATCGTGCATTGGTTAGAAGATAGTAAATAGTACAATACAATGCCCGACGCCATTATGTGTGCAGATCTAGTTAGCATCTACGACATTGCTGTGAAGTTGACATCCGTTGAAAGTCGACTACCTTGATGAAAGACAATAACTGATGGTCTGCATTCAAGCCTTGTATATGAACTAGTAGAGCACGGTAGTATGCTTAAGATTGAATTAATAGACAGGACAACAAAATTTATTGCTAATTGCTTTTTTTTTTTTTTTTGGTGCTCTTTTTCTAGGTGAACTTAATTTCTCTAAAAAAAACGGCTCTAAGCTGAAACGTTAATATGTTGTAATTAAGATTGAATTAATAGACAGGACAACAAAATTTATTGCTAATTGCTTTTTTTTTTTTTTTTGGTGCTCTGTTTCTAGGTGAACTTAATTTCGCTAAAAAAAACGGCTCTAAGCTGAAACGTTCATATCTTGTAATCCTGTCTCTTAATACAAGTTTAAACACACCTTGTTCTACTCTTTAAACTTGATTTTAAAAAAAACAACTCGTATGGATTAACAAGTGAAATCGAAATCGTGGGAAATGCCACAGGAAATTGCTGCCAAACAATAGAGAATGGCGTTCTTAGTCGTTCTAAGAAAGTGTATAATAAACCAGTGTTTTCTATAATGGCCGACTGCACACGTACTTTCGGTGGTGGCTTTTCAAGCAGAACACTTTTAGAAAGGAGAACGCCTTTTGACGACAAGTAGGTTAACTGATGGTTTAAGTTTGTCCAACTCACTTAAGTTATTTTATGTTTTGTGTTACTTTATATCCTTACACACTGAAACAAACATGAAACGTGATTAATGTTAGGGAAATAATTTTGTTCAAAGAAAGCATCATTCATTCTAGTATATCTATAAACGTGTTTTATTTTATTGAACCACATTCTGGTAAAATAATATAATAATTATGTTTAATTTAATATATGCATTGAAATCAAAACATATGTTACATTTCTTAATTTTGTTTCCTTAATAAAACATTATCTCTTTACACTTTGGTTTGTATTCGAATATTAGAATGCTTTCTTTTCCCCTTCTATATTTTATAGGGTTTTTTTTTCTTTTTTTTTTTTTTTTTTTTTTTTTTTTTGTTTTTTTTTTTTTTTTTTTTTTTTTTTTTTTTTTTTGTTTTGGGTGGGAGGGGGGACGGGGTTCACTCAAATACACTGATATATTTACCGGTCTGTTACATCGACCTTTTAAATACCGAAAATAAAGTTCATTTAATAGAATAATTTCGTCAAATCAATCGCCCCCTGGATAAAGTATGTATTTCTAAATCACAAATACCCAGAGAGACTTAGTTAAGCTTGACCTATTACAACTGAAAGATGGGCTTTACATACAATGTTACAAAAATACATTTTCTATTTTGATTTCTGTGCAAAATGTTACTCTTGAAAAAAAAGGATTAGAGGAAAGCCTTTTTATTTAACAAACAGGATCAAATAAAGTTGGCTAAAGAGTTTCAGGGAAAATCCGTTTCAGTTTAAATAGCTTTTCTTCGAAAAAAGAACTTTTAAAACCAACTTGAAAGCGAGGGAAGATATCCTGGTTTCGTGTATTGTTTAGAAGAGCAATTCCATGTATTGTAACTGTTTTTTTTTTTTAAAGGGTCGGTGCTAAATGATAGTGACACAATTATTTAAACTTCACTTTTTCATATCTCAAATAGGAGAAAAAAAACAAGCGGCTTTCGTTTATTTTAAAAATTATTTGCAGTAAAATGAACAACTTTATACACTACGTTATTTTGAGCGCTCTGCTTCACACGTGCTGCAATGCAGATAAGGGTAAGCTATTATACATTTGTATATATCTATATATATATCTATAAATATATTTAACCTAAATTAATTGTATACAAATATAAACTTAAATTGCTTCCTTTTCATTTTAATAATTCTGTTTTTGTGTGTGGATGTGTTCGTTGGTAACAAATCAAACCAAAAATAATAATAATAATAATAATTTGTTAACTAATTCAACCAAGAAATGAATAGTCGTGCATCAATTAGATTTCTACATATTACCAGTTAGGTATTGATGTGACTGTAATATCTGATAAGATGATCCCCGTAGGATGTTAGAAATAATGTTAAATAATTTTGAAGCAACATGAGAAAACCGTGATAAATTTTATAATCGTAAATCGAATTGTCAAAGTTATATTATCAGTTTATGTAATTAGGCAATTGTAAAATTATATAGGGTAAAAGGTTACATTTTTGCGTGTATATGAAAAAAGTGAAAGATTTTTTGTAGTTTTTGCATATACGTTTTTGTGTGTACCGTGTGAAATTTAGTCAGCAAATAATTGATTTAAACATTTCTCTTTGCAGAATCATTAAGCTAAATATGCTTTGTTAATGGCATATCATTTAATGTACTTTCATAGTAGCTCCTGAAAGTAAAATGAGATCTTTCCTAATTGACGTTTGGTCAATGTTCTTAACAGATTTTTGTTGTAGCACAAATGCCTTTTCCTCTAAACAAAGAGGCTTCGTTGAAATCTATGCCATGACATGTTCTTAATTATGGCTATATAGTCTATTGCATGTTTGTGATATGTGAGCGGTTTTTTTTTTTGGTCTGTCTATCACGGTGTCATACATTTAGGGTATTTGCTTTTTTCATGGTCATTCAAACTGTATTTTAAAAAAAAGATGACTATATCAAATAGAAAGGTAGTAAGTCTATCTTGCTTCCACACTTGACTATATATCTCAAATTTCAAATTTCTCAAACAGGAAAATTCTTCACACAAATGAGAATAGTTTATACCTATATCAAGGCATGGTTTAAGAGTTCCCAGTTTTGAAATTACTTAGATGTCAAGGCATTTTTAGTTGTAATTATATATGGGTGGCCGAGCGATCTTAACTGTCTCAAACCAAAAAGCCTGTGGTCCGGAGTTCAATCCCCATCAAAGCCAACATCCCAAGCACCCCGGGTGGATGGGACTCGTTAGCCTTGGACGGCAACCCATCTAAGAGAAGGCAAACTCTGAATTTAAACCAGGAGCCAGAATGATCAACAAATTGATAGTGGGCCCCTCAAATATAAGAAGAAGAAGAAGGACTCTGGTTTTGAATATAATAATGGACTTTGTTAAAATTGAATTGGCGATTATGACATTAAAATGGCTTTTTTATGTAATCTAAATGCTAGCAAAAGAAGAAGGCGATAGAGTAGTGCGAGTCGTGTAAGAATAAGGTGATTTTGATAGGCAGTAATCTATTGCGTTCACTGTGTTGATTGTATTTTGCGTTGGGTCAAAGGGGAGAGTGGTGTTGAGTGGAATGGTGGAATTGAATGAAAGAAGGCTAATCGAGGGTGTATGTAGTGAACGATTTTGGTATATGACTTAAGAGATATGGAAACGTAGGTTGAAGAAGAGATAAGAGGCTCTATTAGGGACGAATAAAGTGCTTTGGGTGGGCCATCAGCTCCTGGTTCAACTTTTTTGTTTTTGTGTGGGGGGGGGGGGGGGAGGGGGCTGGGTTTTCCTTTAAAATATGTGCAAAAAGACTTTTACCACCCTGGGCAGTCTTACCCTAACCACGCTCCTTGGTGCTAGCTTTTAAATGTTGACGATATCGTTAGGGATATTGGAGAGGAAATGCAGTGGAGGTTAATAGGAGGGATTGGAAAAAACACTTTTTTGGAAAATTTCTTTTTTAATTCTATTTTTTCTTGTGGTGTTTTGATGAAATTTAAAGTGTTGTTGTTGTTGTTTTGTTTTTTTCTTTTCAAGAAGCGTTTTTGACACACTCTTCTGCAAAGAACATATTTTCACCTTTCCCAACACTGTCATTTGGAAAACTTAAGAAATGTTTTATTGATTTCTTTTTGAGTATGTGTGTGTGTGTCAAATACACAATCATATCTTTCCCCCCAAACGATCATGTTTTTAAACAAATGTAACATTTTAATCAGTCTCTTTCTCTTTCAATTTCTTTAAAAAATGCCAATTATTTTTAAAAGAAACTGAATGATGAAAAAAACATATACCGAAACACATACACACCAATACCCAAAAGTCCCTAAACATTAACATACGAATATAATTAACATACGAATCTAAATATATGATAATATTTAACTTTTCTGAGGATTTCCAACCTGCTGTATCATGTTGTTTACGCAATTTATTGACCTCGAACATTAAAAATAGGTTGACTAGATTTTCCAGAAAAATTTGCAAATTATTATTTCAAATCACATCACATCACTTTTTTTTCTTTTTTTTTTTGGTGGGGGATTCGAATAAAAGAGAAGTTATTTTAGAGGTTTTAAATAAAATATACGTATTTTAATTATTATTTTTTTTTATCTAATATCAATTGCTAAAAAAAAATAGTTAATCATTTTTTTTTTTTTTGCATTTAATTTCTAATTCAACTCGTGAATAACACCAGATAGACTGCAATCACAAAAGGAAAATGAATATAGACTATACATTTTAATTTACAAATTTTTAAAGTTTTCGTTTTCTTTTTATGCCTTTAACTGAACGTTTACAAACGATTCAGATTTTTAGAACTGTCACATAAATGCATAAGAGTTATAATTCGCAATTTTTTTCAAATAGTAAAAAAAAAAAATAATATTTTCTGTACATACATTTCTACTTCATCTCTATTTTTTTCCGACATGCACATTCAAAATCAGGGAGAGTCGGATTGACCTTTGACTCATATCACCAGAATGTGTTTAGCTACCTCTCAAATCTATATATATATATATGTATATATATACATATATATATATATATATATATATATATATAAATCTATATATTTATATATTTATTTGCATCTAATTTTAAAAAGATAAATATATAATAGACGATTATGAGACCTTTATCTTTTGTCTATTAATTATTTTTGTATATATATCTATAGAGAGAGAGTGATAGATCTTTGTCACATATATCAAGAATGTGTTTATATATCTCTCAAATATATATATATATATATATATATATATATATATATATATATATATATATATATATATATATAAATCTATATATTTATAGATTTATTTGCATCTAATTTTAAAAAGATAATTAGATAATGGACGATTATGAGACCTTTATCTTTTGTCAATGAATTATCTTAGTATATATGGCTAAAGGGGCCTTACATGCATACGTCGGACAGTATTCCTTCCCTCCCACTGATGTAAAGTATTTTTGTATTGGTAAAGTATTCTTATATCTGTAACGTATTCTTAAATCGATATTTTTTTCTATTATGCCCTCTGTTTTTATAATTATGCATACAATTTTTTTTCTTCCATCGTTCAGGAGAGTTTTCATGAAAAAAAAAAAGCAATTGTTTTTGGTATGGCTTTTTCTTACATGTAACGATCTGGCACGCTATATTCCATTAATAAGTTATGTGTATCTCCATATGTTACTTTTCATGTCTGATTTAGTCGTATGTTGAACTGACTGATGTCCATGATGTTTATTGCCTTTACTATCTCTTTAAAAACAATTTTCCTGTTTCCCCACTTATCTGCTCTTAATTGCTTTGTCCTCTTGCCATGCCATTGTTGGACAATCTGTGTGGGTTTTTTTAAATCTATCTCTTTCCTGCTGAGTGTTTGAGTGTCACGACTGCCGAGATCGTGTAGTTAAGTAATTGTAATTACGTTTGTTGATGCGTCTTTTTATTTTATTTATTATAATTTTTTTAGTTATTTAAAAAAAAAAAAAAACTTATCAGCTGACATCTTTTCTTCTATACCTTAATCTTTTCTCTTACTTGTATTCATGTACTCTTTTCTTGGCTTGCATCTTCGTGGATGAATAGTAATACTTCATTAGAAATAAGTTATTAATTAAATAGCGGTCAATTTATTTGTCTGTTTTAGTCCGAGGAAAAGATTTATCGCTTTAAATTGTTAACATAGTTTGAACGGAAAAAAAGGTGTCTATTTTAGAGATAGAACTTATTAGGAGATTAAGGGAGATTTGATCCAAATGTCTTATCGCCATTAAGAAGCGACCCAGGGATTGTTCCGAAATAAAAGTGTGATTGCAGGTTGTTTTATCTCGATGACTTCCTATGGAGAAAATGGATAAACTTAGCTCAATATTGATTGCATTGTATGTTTCATCGCAGATCGACTCCATATCAGCTCATTCACCGTCAACAAGCATCACGTTACGCCTTACATTTTTGGCGTCCCACTGGGTCGAGATGTTACTCTCCGGTGTGAAGTCTCTGGGGAAACCAACCTGAAACTAACTAGACTAGGGCAAACGCTGCACACTGTCCAGACGAGCAGAAGTATTACTCACGTTCTCAAAAATGTCACGTGTCAAGACACAGGAGCGTACGTCTGTGAGGCGCACGGCTCAACCAACAAGGACACGAGAACCGCAAATATCAACGTGCAGTTTTGTAGGTTTTTACAGTTTCACGTTGTTCGATGATTTGTTTTAGTATAATTATTATAAGATTTAAACGTTACTTAAATGGTACGAATTAAAAATAATTGATGTTTTTATATATTACCATGTGCTGTTATACCCATTGGTCTTGATTTATTTCAACGTGTCAGAACATCATAGAAACAAATGTGAACAGTTTTATGCCATATGATTGGAAAGTTCGCTGATTTTACCATATCATGACGAGATACGGCATTGCCATTGAATTGCATTGATTAGTCAATAAACTATTCAGACTAACTAGATAAATAAGACACACACAGGTTGTCTTAATAAAACAATATAAGTTAATCTCTAATAATTATCATACAGAATAAAAAATGTAAACTTTTTCGGCAAATGCCTTCGTCAATACAAACAAACAAATAATTTAAAAATCGTAAAATTATAAATTAAATTGAAATACTATAAATATATATAGTGTATTCGATAAGATCATTATTAAAGCTGAATTTGTAGTGTTTTATTTACACACATTGTTCGTGTTTAATTAATCTAATTGAAATCTTTTATCGCAGTCCAACAATCCAAACAACTCGCTATTTAAACTTTATATCTAGGGTAATGGTAAACATAAACGTTAATAAATCTTTTCAAAACAGAGAAACTGGCCAAAATTGTTTATCAGAGGCAAATCGCAATCTCAATTTTATAACCATTCAACCAATTTGAATACATTTAAATTTAGTTTTTCTTATGGGAAAACTCAAAACTGCACTTTTCGCGGAACAAAGCTACGCTAAAACAGCATTGGATATTGACTTTAAAAAAAAAAAAAGATACATTTAAAAGCTTATTTATGTTATTACTATTTCAAAAGATTATTTTATTCCTATCTGTATTTCTCCGTCTGGACTAAACCCATTCATATTAATCAACATTACATTAATGTTCTACAGGTCCTCCCCAGCTGTGTCAACAAAACGACAGCATCAGAGTGGTCACCGTACCAATCGGCAGAGACTATCAAATCTCCACCTGCATTTATACGCACGTTAGCAGTGACCAGTACCCCGTCATCACCCTCAAAAATAATATTCGTCTCAAAAAGAACTCGCGTTCCAATAAGTACGGTTTCCATTGGTCAAAGAAGGACTTACAGATGCACCACACGGCCGTCATTACCATAAGACATGTGGCAGAGAACGACTACGGAGCTCTGGAAGTAGAGCTGAATATCACGGCGAAGAACTCGATGCATTTTACAGTTTATATACTGAAGCCAAACGGTAAGGATCACTGCATAGATCTTTGAGACGTTATAATAAAACTGTAACAGCAAATAGTATTATTAATACACATTTATAGTTATTTTTAAACGGTTTTATCAAATAGATTATTAAGATAAGATACGATTATTTATTGATCCAAATAAATTGAAATGTTTTTTATTAAATTGTACATGCTCGGCACAGAAATAAATACGTTTTTAAACAGAGAAAACATATTTATTGATCATAACAATTGAAAGCCAAGACATCTCAAATATTTCTCTATCATAGAAATCAACCAAAAATGAGCAATCCTTTTGTAGCAATAATGTCTGAATTGGTGACCATGTAGATTTCTTGTGATAAACGTATAAACCAAGTATTATTTGTAATAAAACCTCATTCTGATCTTAACACAACAATCTAAAACAACGTAAGTATTTATTAAAAAGTTAATGAATTTTTAACAAATCTTAAACATATAATTTTTTTTTCTTCTAATACGAATATTTTAAAAGATAAATATAGCCATTTCCTTTGGGGTTCCTAACAGCTTCCTACATCGTTGACTTCACGGCCAACAACAATGAACTCACCGCCTCATCGTCCAAGCCGGTAACCCTAGCATGCAAGGCCGCAGCGTTTAAGCCTATTTTCAGGCTGTACCGACGCGGCAATGAGACTGAACTTGCCCGTCGCACAGGGAGTCTCAACCCCTCGTCTGAAATGTTACACACGCTCAGCGGCACTTGCGGAGACACCGGGGCGTACGTCTGTCTTGTTGAAGACGTACGTGGCGTAGTAGTAAAGAAGGAAATGGAGATAGCGTTTCAAAACTGTAAGTGATACGGGCTTAAAGTTCATATTTATTTTTTATATTTTTTCAATAAGCCCATTCAAAATGAAATGATAATACATTTTTGTAACATAAAATATGTACGAATATTCATAAGTCTTGATACTTATTCAATAATATAACAACGATCCAAATGGAAAAAAGGGGGGGGGGGGGGGGGAGAAAAGGAAAAGAAATAGGAACACGAAAATGTTCAACGCCTGTCGATTATTATTAAAAACAGACTACAAATTACATTTGATAGTGTAAGGTTTCTTTATTTAGGGGTGCCATGTACCCATGGGTTGGAGGTAGGCTGTGTCAAGGGGAGTGACATACCCACACAAAGCACCGAATTTAGTCGCATTTTAGTGAAGATTCATTCATTCTTGAGATGCGGGTGTGCGGACAACACATTTTAAAATCAAGAGGAGGTGTGGCGCCGAACAAAAAAGGTTAAGAACCACCCTATTAAAGTGACGAAAGCTTAGAGAAATTGGAATCATGAAACAGCTTGTTGCAGTACGTAATATTCCACAAAATACTCATTTCCACTGAAAACATCGGGAAAACCTGAACGAAAAAAAACAAACTATTATCAAGAAAACCGTACATGTGATTAACTGGTCCTCCCACACATGCTGCATTAACGGAATCATGGAAAACGCTGGCTCTAGAAATTTATCTTTTCGGAGAAATTTGTTGTGGATCAATTGGCTGAAAAACATGTTATAACCGAAACGTGTTATGGCTGGTGGAATATACGTTATATCGTTTTGACTATAGGAAACAGATATTCTACAATCAATATTAATAATATACAAATATATATAAATATCACATAATAGAAGTTAGAAAATTTGAATAGATATGTATGATTTTAGGTGCATGTTGATAGTTGTGTGACAAAAAATGTTCGGTACAACATAACATTAAATTTCATAAATTTACCCAAGCATAGTTTAGGTGAATAAAACAATGAATGTTTTATAAATACAAATAAAGTTAATACATTCATTTAATTAATAGCAAGCTAAATACCAACACAGCACTGTAGCAATTATCATATGAAAATAAAAGACACTGTTGGTAGATATACTAGTAAAATTGGATTGGTGTTCTTATAATATACTGAAAAGTGAAGAATGTTTCCAAAGATATTGCGGCCACCCTGTTGTTGTTGATGCGGGGATGCTCGTTACCTAAGTCTGTAACATATTTGTAACACGATCACAACAAGAGATCATCAATGTTGTCAAATGAATTACTGTGTGATTTGATAATTAATAAAACACTTTATTAAAATAAGATCGAATCACATGATAAATAAATAATTTCCATTGTCGTACAGGAAAACCATTAAAAAATAGATGTGTTCACGTCTGTGTTCATTAATTATCTATATTGCCGTCTTCGAAATTATCAAACACTTTATTATAGTACAAACTTATAGCACGACCTCTTAAAATGGCTGCCTACACTGGTGCGTTATATCTCTACAATTTTTCTTCTTCTTATGCCTTTTTACCCCGTCTAGGGCATAGCCTGCCCACAACAGTTTTCCACTCATCACGCTTATTTGCTGTCTTTTCCGATTGCTTCCATGTATATACCATCTTTTGCATGTCTGACTCTAGCTCGCGTCCCCATGTATTCTTCCAGCATAGCCTGAGTTTGGCCACAAGGCTTCATAGCTCTTTTTGAAGAAGAAGAAGAACCCTTTCTTCTCAGGGTTTAAAATTGGTTGGTTTTCAGTGTTAACGCCATGTAGCAATTTGTTGCCTCTCGATTGAATCCCACCTAAATCAAAGTATACAGTTACAGATATAGTTATTTAACTCTGTCTTGTGCATCATGTAGCTTTTTGGAAACTAAAAAAAAATAAAGGTAGGGTGATTGGTGGGGGATTATTTTACTAAAATGTACATTACATATTTGATCCTTTAAGGCCCACCTCTACCCTGCAATGAGGAATCAACATCCAAAATCGCCCTGGCCAATGTGAGTGACAACCTCACGGTATCGTTCTGCGTTATGACTTACAACGGAATCCAACCAATTGTAGAAATCGACGCAGACAAAATTCGCGTCAACGATACCTCCAAACGGTTTCACGTGGACATCGCTACTCAAGGGTACCAGAGCCGAGTTAGCATCAGCATCAATGACGTACAGTACGAAGACTTCGACGAATACCGTGTTAAAATATCGACCCCAGGGCAACCTGCATCTGAAAATAGGAGCACCGAGATGAGCTTTGAGATCATCAATGTTAACAATAGTTAGTCGGCTTCTTATTTCTTCCATTGTGTTCAGTTTGTTTTTAGTTGCTTAATTTAAAAAAAAAATAAATAATTCGAGCCATTTTAGATAGTTGATAGCTATATCTCTTTCAATACCACTCATTGTTTCTCCGATTTTTATCATTTTTAATTTCACTTAATACTTATAGAGATATACAAAATATAAAGGGAAATAATCAAATTAAATATCACTTTCGATTCATTAATATCATTTCCCTTACAGGACTGTAAAAGAGTGTTTCTCGTAATAAACAGATGTGTTCTTATATTTGTTAAATCTGGCTTGAAATCTTTTTCTATCTCATGTTGTTTGCGACCTCGCTTTTGCTGATATAATATCTGTTTGATAGTGCTTTACTTGCTTTACACAATTTACTTAATTTTTTTTTTTTCCAAAAACTAAAACTTATTACAGAAGAGTGTGATCTGTACAAAAGAAAAATAACGGTGTTCACCCACATTGGTGGGAATGCGACTGCAAGGTAGTGTAAGCACTTAGTTTTTTAAATTAAAATAACTTTGAGAAGTTGTGAAATATAATATGAAAAATCGACACACATTGGGGTTTATATTACTGGAATGTCATAATTAGTAATCTACTTTGACTTTAGTAATCTACTTTGACTGTAGTAATTTACTTTTACTTTAGAAACCTAATTTTATTTATTAATCTAATTTTACTAAAGTAGTCTACTTTTAATTTTTAATTCACTTTTAATTTGTAATCTACTTTTACTTTTATAATCGGTTTTAACCTTAGTAGTCTACTTTGACTGTAGTCTACTTTGTTCTTAGCAACCTCCTTTTCTATAGTAATTACGTTTACTTTAGTAATCTACTGTAACGTGAGTAACCTCCTGAGTCCAGGCGTGCAGCCCACTGGACAATGGTTTTCTATCACTTATTCTAACTTGGTAGCTAATTTTCGTTTGGATCCTCTCGTGCAGTCGGCTGGACACATTTTTACACTAGTTTGACATACTTTTACGCCGAGATAGACATACTTAATTTTAAGATGGCCGACAGAGGGGCAGTACCTTGGTGCTCAGCAAGGGGTGCTGGTAAGTTTTTTGCTAATATTTATTAGATTTAACCCAATCTAAAGATTTCAATGTTGTTTTAAGACAATAATATGTCAAAGAATACGAATATAGCTGGATTTTTATTCATATTTCATTACATCGTAGTTTATTTAATCCTTTTTAAAAGGTGTTCAGTCTACTGGACACAGGACTCTAATCAAATCAAAACAACACCAGCGATACGGTGACGACACACAAATGAATGAAAGTCTTAGTTCTAGGCAATCGATGTCATTTTTAGCTGTGTTTAAATGGTATAATTATTATCAGATTAATTAATTACGCATTTAGATACATATATTTTAGTCAGTTTTTAGTTAGAGTTAGATCTCTTATAATATATATTCTTTAAATTTATTTACCCATTATTTCTTCAGTTTAAAATTAATTATTTGAGGCCCTTTTTATTGTTTTTTGTTAATTTTTAAAGTTTTCTTCCCAAAGTGTGAAATTCCATGTGTTTTCGCTTGTGGATTTACGGCTAGTTTTTAGGGTTCAGATCTCAAGTCGGAATTTTTAAATTCAACATATTTAAATATTCGAAGTGTCTACACGTCCGGCGCGCGGACGTGTAGTGCGCAAGATACACGTCCGGCGACTTGTCACGTGACCGCCGGACATGGCCGGACGGCTAGTAGTTTTTATAATTCCAAACGAAGTACGATTTAGTACATCTTGTCTGGTCTTGTGGTAGAGTGGTTGCATGACGATAGGAATGTTTGAGGATCTATACCGGGGATAGGGTCGTTTTTTTTCTTCCCATTTTAATTAAAATATTTTGTATATATTTATATTATCATGTTCCTCTGCAACAGTAGTTTCATGAGAAGTTTTTAAATATTTTGTAGCAATTGAAATAATTTAAAATGAAATCTTTAACTTTTATTGGTTGCCACACTGGCCCCTAATTTATTTTATGGATTACTGGTACACAAAAAATAACAAACTAAACAAAAATGTTTACAAGCCACTTTCACTTAAGTTTCTTTTTCTATTATTTGCATTCAAGATACTCAGTACATTACTTGGTAGAGAAATAGATTTTAAAATTAACAATAGTTTTGAATTATTCGCAGTCACGTGACAAGGCTGACCGACACGATATCTCTCGCCACTTTGTTACGGCGGTCATGTGACTTGGTCGCCGGACACATAGTGCGGGAGATAGACGTCCGGCGCGCCGGACGTGTAGACACTGCCTTAAATATTTAATTAGGCATTAGGCATTCTACAATATTAAGCCTTATGCCTTATTTTGTTTGTTGAAATTTTAAGGAAATCCCTGATTTTGATAATTTATCATAAAAAATGAATAAAAAGAAACATCTAAATTCTTATTTTCATCATGCAAACTGATGGTTTTTTTTGTTTTTTTTTACTGTTTTAGGTAATACTTGGAGAAAATAACACACAGAACAACAGTTATTTGTGATGTTTGAACAATCGTGAGATATCAGAGAAATATCCTCATCCTCTGAATGAAATCGATATAGATGACGACATTGATTACAATGAATCAAACTTTGAAAATGAATCATTTTAAGACGAAGAACCCTTGTCCAAAGACAACAAAAAAAGTGAAAGTCGCTCCCTCTGGCGTAAAAGCAACTAATTTGTTCCTGATTTGTCAGATGTTAATCACAAAGTTAATGAATTAAGCTTAAGCTTACAAAAGATTCATTCACTTGGATTTGGTAGGAAAGAGTTTGAAGCAGTTCATGTTGATTGAATGTTGGCAACCAAACACAAAAATGCTTTGCAAGTTGAACAGTCCACCTTGCATTTAGCTGATAGCTGAACATCCTTCTCTGCTACATTTTGAAAAAGAATTTGAATCAATATCTGGAATATCAGGAGGATGGGCAACTTGTTGATAACTAAGACTTCTATTGGGCACAGGGACTCTTTTTTTTTTTTTTTTTTTTTTCCCTCTATAGTTTTCAAAGCTGACGTCATCTAACGGAGGAGTGCTTTTTTCACGTTTATTTGTTCCATTTTTTCTTGGTTCCAGTTTTGAAACTACGCATTTTTTTTTTTTTTTTTTTTTTTTTTTTTCCCTCTATAGTTTTCAAAGCTGACGTCATCTAACGGAGGAGTGCTTTTTTCACGCTTAGTTGTTCCATGTCTTCTTGGTACCAGTATTGAAACTACGCATTTACAGTAGCTTGGTCCAACATATGGAATATTACTCTGACATTTGGAACTTATGGCTCAAGTAGCATAATAGCTCAGAAGTCGGTCACACAAGTCAACACCTCCCATGTTGTGATTATAGTGTTTTATTAGAAATGGACACTGTTCCTCTATATACTTCTTCTTCTTCTTCTTCTATATCTTAAGGGCCCACGATCAAGTTATTGATCATTTTGGCTCCTATGCATGTTTTCCTTCTTTTCCTTTTTTGACCATAGTAAACACTGGTTAGTTGGAGCCAGCGATTCTGCAATATTCGACATCCTAGTTGAAGTTGCCCAGTACATTCGTATTAGGATACATCAGGTCATCAGGCAAGACATCTCCATGCTAATTCCAAGAAAACTTTTTTATTTCTTTTGCTGTAACGGAACCGGTACGCAGATTGGTGAAAAATCTGTGTGCGTGTAGAATTGTTCATTAAAACAGTGATGGCAATAATCAAAGGGCTCAACCCTATGAGATTTATGACTGAGGTTTCAAATTATTTGGATCCTGATGTCCAGTGGACTGCACATCAAATAAATCAAATATCAAATTCAAAATTTTTTGTTTGAATGTTATTTTAGCATCACTTATAGCACAATAAAATAGGTGTCCAGTTGATTTCACCCTAACTTGCCTCTGGGGACTCGGGAGGGTAACCTAAATTTTAAATACTATACATTTTAGATCCTTCTTGAAAATTAAGGATTTCATATTTTAAATCATACAACACTTTATTTTTTTTAAAATAGATTTTGTGTCCAACACGATGAACGTTGGCTGAATGAAACGGAGGCACTAAATGAAGAAACGTATCCTCCACTTACACGTGACGGGTCACAAGGTAAAGTAAGGATATGGCTCAATTCAACGGACGGTCAACAATACAGATTCTTTACGGTCGTCATCAACAACGTTGAACTCCATGACCTGAAACAGTACAACTTCGTCACACCGAAGGACAGCCTGAATTACACAGTCGATCTCCAACTGCAGACAGGTAGTGTGGATCACTCTCAAAATATTTGGGACATGTGATAACGTTTTAAGCCCAGAAAGAGGTGTATGCTGTTATCAAAAGAAATTTTACAATTGTTTACTGGGCTGACAGAAGATAATGCATATTATAGAGTAAAATTTAACCAAAAAAAAAAAACAGAGATGCATTACCTGTAACTAGCAATGATGTAGATTTAATGTAACTAATAATTGTACAATCTTTTTATTGAATGTTTCTCTTCCAAAATGAATGGGGCTACACAATCTTTAAAAACACTTCAAATGTGACGTAATATATAAAAAAAAAAGATATTGGAAATCCCTGTGATATCGCTTGTTATTGTTTGTGGAAAAAAATATTGTGTTGTTTATTCATAGGTATGTGAAAACACATTAGCGAATTTAGCAACAACAACATTATTATTTATTGCAGAGTTTTTTTAATTCTTTTTTTAAATAATTTAAAAATAAGATTTAAAATCGTGTCTCTAAATTATAGTATGATTTATTAAATTTGATTATAACAGGAATTTCTTTATTTTGTAAAGCGTTTGGCTTCTCCTTATTAAAAAAAATTTAGTAACTTTCTATATCCTTTAAATGTTTCTAACCCACCATTCTAATTTGCAGACACCCTCCAATTTTGCAACAGCTCAGACAAGCATAGAGTCGCACGTGCGGAGTTGGCTGGCAAAATCTTGGTTCATACGTGCATTGCTCTCAGCAAATCCACCAAAAACTCCAGTATTTTCGTCGAATTCAATGGTACTGATTTCAAGAACATGGGCTGCATCGGAAAAAAGTGTGCACTGTGGGCACCGGAGAACGCCTCATCTATGGCGTACATATTCAGCGTCAGAATGGAAAACTTGTCTGTGCTTGATTTCGGTAACGTGACAACGAAGGTGGGACTGTACAATGAATCGAATGATAGTGTTATTTCTCAACTGACATTCACGCTGCAGTTAGAAAGAATATGTAAGTTCATCATATATGTACGGTATTTAACATTTTAAAGTACGTTTGCTTTTGATAATTAATATAAATATAATTTTTTTTTTATTTATTTATATTTATATGTAATGTATCAGTAAGTATAAAAGTATAAAATAAGTTGGTGCATAAAGTAAATAAAACATTACACTAATAGATATATCAATTAAAGGAAAACAAAACTGTATATAATATAATTTTTTTTTAGATATTTAAAAAAGAAATTAATAAACATATCTTTAAAAGGAGGTCCTAAAACTATTTCAAATGTAACTTATACATATTAGAAATATAAATCTTCATGCTACAGAGAGAAAAAAATATGTTTTTATTACTTTATTAAAATATGAGTTATAATAATAATAAGTAGCAATAATAATAACTTTGGATATAAAATATCACGCAAAGAAATGAAATTTAAATTCAGTCACAATGAAAATAAAATGTGATTGTTATCTTGAATATTAACCCTTGAAAACGAAACTGTTTCCGCCCTTCCTGCAGATGTTGTGCGCAGCAATACACCAGCGAAAATGTATGGTATCAAGCCCGAAGGAGACGAGGTCGTCGAATCTGGCGTGGCCCCAAACACCATATTGGTGATAACAATGGCAATTACTGGTACACTGGTGGTTGTAGTGCTTGTTGGCTATGCCGTCAAAAAATGTAAAGGTGAGGCAATCAACAATACAAAAATAGAGTCCAATAAATGTCCAACAAGATGTGATTTGAAAATTGCATGTGACTGTAATATCAAAGGTGAGGATAAAGGGGATTGCACATATTTTACTCACTACTGAGAGATGGTGATGAAGTCAAACTCGTGCAAAGAAAATTGTATCTGTTGGAGCGTGAAAGAGTGCGAGGCCAGCGTATGATTTTTTGTGAAGACAATGGACGGGCGTTGTAACAGAGTGGGGAAGAGAGCGATCCAAAGAATGGAAGAGAAAGAAGTGGGTTGTTTGTCTTGGCTAAATTTGTTTGCGAAACTTACTTTACTAATTGTACTGCTTGTTTTATTTATTTATTTTATTATCATTTTTAAATTCTTCATATTACCTTCACTTTTGTTCATGTGTAGCAAACATTCTGGTCGGTGTGTGGCAACATTTTCGGATAGGGGAATGACATACTTCCCCTCAATCAATCGAGCTGAGACTTGCCGCATTCATTCAAATTTTCAGCCCCACCCACACCCCAAAAAAAACAAAGTTTTTCCCTTTTTTTCGAGGTGTAAAATGTAGATAAAGAAAATACGGCACCATTGAGGTCACAAAGTAAAACTTCCAATAATTGCGCTCAATAAGATTCTTTAAAATATTGCAATTTCGTTTGGTGCGTTACAATGTATTTTGTTTTTTTCTGAGATAGTAGTCGAAATGAATCTGCGTGGGACATTAGAATATTAATATGAAATTAAATTAATAAAATTCATTTGAAAGATTTATACGAAAAACTTTGCTTTTAGCCGTTGTTTAATGTTCGATGACACCGTGAATCAATGGTGTTAGTGCAAGAAAACTTTATTTGACCAAAATTATCCTGAAACTAGTGTTATTCTTGTGTATTAGTGCACTAGTTATACCCTAGACAAGGACAACACAATGCACAATTCGAAATTCTTGATATGCTAAATATTCGGCCATCTATATTTTTTATGTGGGTTTGTCGCGCTCAGGGTGCAAATATGGCTAGCTACACCCCTGAGCTTTTCTAGAGTATTACGACTACATCTATTGCACCATAAACTGCCCTGGAACAAAAAAAAAGTATTTCTATTATATTTTTTTTTTAACATGTTCTTTACCATTTGAAATTTAAAAATCTTGACGTACACACTAGGCAATAGGTATAATTGTCACGGGTGCAGATTTTTATATGTCACATTAAATGGTACAGCTTCTTGTAAAAAAAAAATTCTCATTAACATTCGTAAAGAAGTTAAATATTTTGCATCAATCGTTGTTATCACACTGGAATTAACAATTAATGGACTGAGTGCAGAAGCAATATGTATAAAGCATTTACAAAATATAATTTTAAATAAATAAATCAATAAAAATCACATTTACTTAATGTTTGTTGGCTTTGCGCTCATAGAATCTTTGGTAGATAAAAATTATACTTACTCTGTAAAACAGGAATTTGAAGACGTACCAAAAAAAACAACAACAAAACAATACGTACAAGAACAATTTTCAAACTATTACATTCAAATTTAATTGATGGAAAATTGTATATGCTAGTAGTGATAGCTGATTTTAAGACTCAGTTGTTCACTAATCAGTTTTTCGTTGTGGAATATTTGTAGTGTTAGGGGGAAATGGATATTTCTAAAGAAAAGTGATCACAGATTGATATAGAAGAAGTCTTCCATTAAATGTGTTTAATTTTTCCTCTTCGAATTAATTTATTTTTTATATAATTTGTTTGGCTGTTGTAATTCCCAGGTGAAATAATTGTATCTAATCGTGAAAGGCGAGAGCATCATGTGGTCAACGCAGACTTGGTAAGGTCAACCAGTGATGGCGGGCCCTCACGAGAACTTCAGCCGATGTACGTGAACACTGAAGGCGAGGATCACAGGATGGACATGTGACGCGTCAAGCAGGGAAAAGAAGTGACTCAATAATGGTTTACATAAGGATACTAGTCTACAAGGCAGCAATTTAAAAAAAAAAAAGGGAAATGATTTACAGCGTACTGCAAATGCTGAACTCGATGGCGTGTAAACAATGTTGCTTTACAACAAACCAAAGTATTATCCAAAAAAAAAAAAATAATAAATCAATCATGAATTGTTACAATAGAAAATAATTAACACTATATACAATTAAATAGTAGTATGTCATGGTGAACAATAAATCTGTATTTAATTTATAATTACATTTTCTTAACTCAGTGTCTTTATTAGTCAATACTGACAGTAATATATGTAAGATATAAAAAAAAAGTTAAATTTCTAGTTTTTTTATTTTTTTTTATTCGGGGAAGGTGAACAACATTTATGTTAAAATGAAAATATGGATGTTGTTAAGATGTATACATTGTGTTTGGTCAATGAAGGATCCTTGTATATGGAAGTTTAAACATTTTTCTTAAGTTATATCATTTTTTTAAAAATCACAGCATGCATGAAATCAGTCATTTAATTTTTATTATTCCTGTTATTTTTTTATTACTAATTTATATATTTTGTTTTAAATAAAATGAATCTTGTCATAAATGATAACTTTATTTGTATGTAGTTAACGCACTCTTGAGTTTACAAAATCACATTACATATGATTACATTATTTAGATAAATATGCGTGTTCAGCTCAGCTACTGTTATAGCTCATTGTTCATAGCTCATACATGAAGATAATAAATAGATGTGGGAAAATGAGGAAATTTGTGGGGAAAAGGGGGTTGTGTGAGTGTAGATATGTAGTTAAATTGGAGTAGGAAAACTATGAGAAATATAAAGAAAAAAAATGAAAAGGAGGGAGAGCTAGATGGAGCATGAAGAACGAAAAAATCGGCGAGACACAGCTATAGATACAATAGATATTTAGTGAAGCAATAGATATTTAGTTAAGCAATGATGAGATAAGGACATGTGGATATGAAAAACATATAATATATATTTATAAATATACCTATAAATATATACCTGGTATATATATAAATATACATATATATATATATATACCCGGTTTATAAATAAATATATATATATATATATATATATAAAGTGAGATAGAGATATGGAGAGAAACAGAGAAGAAATGGATAACTAAAGAGTACAAAAAAACAGTTAGATTTTGAGAGAGAGGAAAACATAAGGACGAGTGAGACAGGGAGCAACCCGTTAGAGTTAGACCCATAATTGCAGTTTCATGTGTGCTTTTGCAAAAAAAAACTACAATATTATCAATTTTTTAAAATGATATGCGTCAAATCATTCACTCGCGCTGGAACTTATGAAAGAACAAACTCATAATTCTGACCCTCCACAATCACACACGTAATCCCACAAACACACACATACACATGCACACAAACACACACAAAAAAAAAGAAATTAACATTTGTTGATATTAATGTTTTTAATAGTAGTTTCGTTTTCTTTATTTTTTTTATTTCCTTTCTTCAAATGCAAATTTTTTCTAAACTTATTGATTGTCTATGTTTATTTTGAACTACAAATTCATGTTGATTTTATGTGTCGATAGTTTCTTAGAACTGATTTTTTTTTTTTTAAATCACATTTCCTCTGCTATCATAAGTTTATTTGTATCAAGTCTACGCATTACATCTATACACCCATTATGAAAGTCTTAATAACTATGAATATCATTCAAATAATCAACGTCATAAAGAAATGTAATTATTCATATAATTTTTGTTTCTTTATAGAAATCTCTGTTGATAAAACATAGATCTCATCAAAATGACTCCACTTGTGTATTAATATTGTGAAGCGAGTTGACACTTAATAGTAATAAGGTACCTCACATTCTGGGAATCACTTTGATAGCTGCTGGTGAACCCAAGTTTATACTATTATAGTACAGGACCCCCCCCCCCCAAATTAAAGAATCACAGCGATGAGTTCTGGGACCTAACATCTTGATCGGTCACTCATACAAGACGATTGACAATTTTGTGACTAACACGTCACGCTGGCGTCATTGTGCCACTTTAAATCCTATACCAGTCAGGCATATGCCTTGTCTTTTTCATACCTACCTGTGCCTGCGCGTTTACAACTAACAGCTACGATGTATACCGTCATTATTACAAATGCGCTAAGTTTTAAATTAACCCAACTAGCTTCCCAGTTTTTCCAACTAGCGAATTTCCTTTAAAGTGCTAGAGTTGAACCCACTGCCACTCGCCAAGGCTTTCACCAAACAGCTATTTGCGCTTGTAAAATCATGACAGTCATATCATTATATATGCCATAATGTTAAGTTGTACATAGACCTACGAAATGATCTTGCCATAGAGCAGTCCTCCCACTCAGCACACGGGTAAAAATTACTGTTTGTTTTCAATTGCAGTCAAAAGTGTACTAACAAAAAAGTTGCAGATAAAAGGACATGTTCATGACATTTAAATGTTTTGATTGTATTTCTTCTTTTCTATTACATATTTATAATTGTAAACCTTTCCATTGTGTTAGCTTCATGCTCAAATAATTTTAACCGTAGTAACCCTGTAAACGTATAACTGCCTACTTATTTGTGTATACTGTTGAATGTGCATGTACAATTAAAGGAAATCTAAAAAATGTGTTTTGGATTTTTGTTTAAATCTACAAAATAATAAGAAGAATGTGTGTGCGATAAAAGCATTAAAGTGAGATAAAAATATCTTCAAATGCATACCTTTTTAGTCTTTAACAAAAAAAAAAAATCAACAACAAACAAGAAGTTTTTTAAAAAAAAACTCAGACAAAATAACAACAAACAAACAAGTCATGTTTATAAGACTTGAAATATGAAAAAAAACAACAACAAAAACCATCAATTTTCCTAATTAAATTACAATATAAGGATAAGAAAACAATTTGTAATATAAAATGAGGCTATCATCCTCTAGACCAGTGGTTCTCAACCTGTGGGTCGCGACCCCTTTGGGGGTCGTGAGACCATTTCCCAGGGGTCGCCTAAGACCATCTGAAAACACATATCCTTACAGCTATGAAGTAGCAACAAAAATAATTGTGTGGGAGGGGGTCGCCACGACACGATAAACTGTATTAAAGGGTCGCGGCACTAGAAAGGTTGAGAACCACTGCTCTAGACGATCGTCCTTGGATTTAAAAGTGTTAAATATGTCCCAAAAAATAACTATTATCAATCTATAATATAAATTGATTGTTACCCATATATAAATTATATTTATAAATATGTTGTTTTTTTTTGAAAAATCAGATAAAACAAATGGGCTATCTCATGCCAACTCAGAAATGTGAAACTTGACAACTTTGAGGCTGATATAGCAAAGATACTTAGCATCCCCAAAAAGGGAACCCACCTTTTTTCCAGCGATACTAAATCTTTCGTAGCTTCTTGTATTACATGTATTGAGAGACTATTAAGTAAGATAACTTTGATTCATTTACAAATGAGCGTTTTTTTTTTAGAGGGGATAACACCGAACTATGATCTACCGTTTTTATGTTTAGATCATCTCCCGTGTTGTGTGTAGATCATCTCCCTTTATTTATAAATAAAATCTTCCTTTGTGATAATCCTTGGTTTATTTCCTTCCGCGAAGACAAGAAAATATCAAAGTAAAGTACTTAACCAAAATTATATGAAGAGAAAGTACTTCTTTACTGGTGTTTCTGTGTGTACGTGTTAAGCAGTACTTATATATAATTTGTTTAACAGCAGAAAGTTAAACGTCACTGCCAATGTCAACATTTATTTGTATGATACAAAAAGTATGAATCAGCGACGTCACATATAATAATAATAATAATAATAATAATAAAGTTCATTTCAAAAATACGCTTCATCCCCAAAGGCTCGAAGCGCGGTACAAAGTCAACAAAAAACATATCTATAATTTACCCCATTTAAAACAAACGCAACACTACAAAAACTAATCACATATGATCTAACCCCCCCCCCCCCCCCCCCCATGAATGGAGAGAAACAGAGAAGAAATGTCACAAATCGTCAAACTTTCTTAGAACACCTTCTCCAGATTCAAACATGAAGCACTTAAGGACGAACCCATGGTCCAATATACAGAAGAAACAAACTGAATGTGAATTTTTAGTTTTATATTTTTAGTTTTACATCCAATCAACATTCTAAATGAAATGAGCGGAACGCTTACATTGCACATCTATAAAGCGTGCACTGTCGCTCTGAGTCACAAGCGTGCACTGTTGCTCTGAGTCACCTGCGTGCACTGTCGCTCTGAGTCACAAGCGTGCACTGTCGCTCTGAGTCACAAGCGCGCACTGACGCTCTGAGTCACAAGCGCGCGCTGTCGCTCTGAGTCACAAGCGTGCACTGTCGCTCTGAGTCACAAGCGTGCACTGTCGCTCTGAGTCACAAGCGTGCACTGTCGCTCTGAGTCACAAGCGTGCACTGTCGCTCTGAGTCACAAGCGTGCACTGTCGCTCTGAGTCACAAGCGTGCACTGTCGCTCTGAGTCACAAGCGTGCACTGTCGCTCTGAGTCACAAGCGTGCACTGTCGCTCTGAGTCACAAGCGTGCACTGTCGCTCTGAGTCACAAGCGTGCACTGTCGCTCTGAGTCACAAGCGTGCACTGTCGCTCTGAGTCACAAGCGTGCACTGTCGCTCTGAGTCACAAGCGTGCACTGTCGCTCTGAGTCACAAGCGTGCACTGTCGCTCTGAGTCACAAGCGTGCACTGTCGCTCTGAGTCACAAGCGTGCACTGTCGCTCTGAGTCACAAGCGTGCACTGTCGCTCTGAGTCACAAGCGTGCACTGTCGCTCTGAGTCACAAGCGTGCACTGTCGCTCTGAGTCACAAGCGTGCACTGTCGCTCTGAGTCACAAGCGTGCACTGTCGCTCTGAGTCACAAGCGTGCACTGTCGCTCTGAGTCACAAGCGTGCACTGTCGCTCTGAGTCACAAGCGTGCACTGTCGCTCTGAGTCACAAGCGTGCACTGTCGCTCTGAGTCACAAGCGTGCACTGTCGCTCTGAGTCACAAGCGTGCACTGTCGCTCTGAGTCACAAGCGTGCACTGTCGCTCTGAGTCACAAGCGTGCACTGTCGCTCTGAGTCACAAGCGTGCACTGTCGCTCTGAGTCACAAGCGTGCGCTGTCGCTCTGAGTCACAAGCGTGCGCTGTCGCTCTGAGGCTCCTGCAGAAGCATTCGCTATTTCATGCTGACACGCGCTCAGTGTGATCAACATGTAGCAAAAAAAAAAAAAAAAAATAGAATAGAGATCCCAGGTGATAAGTTTGGCTTATGTCGCTTTACTTCTACCTACTGATAGTGGTGACGTAAACTGTAGCTGTACCCCTTTTATGAAATATCTAGTTGACTCAGGTCTGACTTAATGGGAAATATAAGCCGATCATGTTTACGCGGGATTTTACTTTAACGAACAACTTTATATAATGTATGTTGTTGTTTTTTTTGTCGAGTGGTCTGTATGAATCGTAGTCTTCGTTGATTAATCGTGGAAAAGTCAAGTACCGTTGATGGCGTCACACAGTCGCTACTCACCCTACTGTGTGGTTACACAATGAAACAATCGATTCAATAACAGATGTGGCGTCAATATTGGAAACTAATTCATCACATACACGATTAGTTTCATCTACTAGCAATGGGGGAAAAGGTGGGGGGGGGGTATTCAGTATCATATAACTGAGTTAAATGTCGCGTATCATATCATTGAGTTAAAAGTCACTTATAATTTAAATGAGTTAATTGCCACTTATAAAAATGAGTTACATGTCAATTATCCTATAACTGAGTTAAATGTCGCGTATTATATATTTTTATCAATCCAGGGGTTAGCAACTGGCAGAAAACTGACAACATTTGGAGCAAAACCTGTTTGGTTACTGCATTCGATCAATACTCTTTGTAAAATATACACCTTTTGAATGACTATCGGAAAAATAACATCAAATTAAAAAGAAAATCAACCCGAACATATTCGTTCTCATTTCTACCGTATTGTCTTAGAAAGCTAGATTCTTTAAATTATAAGTCTGACCGCAACCCTTTTCTTTTTTACCCATTGGCCCTTTGCCCAATCAAGATACCAATACCTGTTAACATATAATCACAAAGGTTAAGAGGGTACTTGACCTCTGAGACCGAACCAAACGTTTTCTAAATAGTAAAACTGTTTCATAGTATTTTTTATTATTCTTTTGACCCTGTCAAAATGTAAAACGAAATTGCTGTACAGTCCATCTAAGATATTTTCTTCTTCTTCTACTTTCAAAAAGTGCACTTTGTAAAATAGAGATTACACAGTCTTGAAGTTTAACTGACAACAGCAGCCAATAGCCTTTAGACAACGTTAACAGCAGTTCTTGCTGACCAGCAGAGCTTTATGTTATTTCATTTCGATGTTGTAATTTTAAAAAGCGTCATCTCTTTTGACAAACTAAGCATTTTGACATACATGTGTACCCAAATTGTGTAGTAATGGCGAAAATATTAAATAATCTGGGAGTTTACATTCATCACATAGTAAATTGTGAGTAAATTATAGAGTCATTGGTCTCACTTAACAATGAGATATGTGTGTTGAGAGATTGCTTGAACACACAAATACAGTCTCGTATGTTCTTGGTGGACATGTAAAAGCAAAAATAAATGCATCTGATACTCCGACCGCCCAACTGTTCTCATACATGACGAGACTCAAAATAAATTATGACTTGAAAATGAGTCGGTCAAAGCTGGTCTTTTAAGGTTTTCCCATACTTTGATTACTCATTTCCCTTTCAATACTGATACGATTGAAACTACTAGTAATGTTCTCTTTATTTTTACAGAGAAGTGAAAAGATCAATTGTAATACTTGAAAATGGAGATGTGTTCAGAAGATTAAAAACGGAAACTAGGTTGAAACTTTGATTGACGAGAGAAACGTTGAACTGCCATTTGGTTAATGAAACATTAGCTACTAGGGCTTAACCGGGGTAGCTGTTGACATTAGGTCCGGATATTTTGAGAAAATACCCGGTGGGTTCATGTGTTAGCAAAAAAAGTTAACCTTTTTTAAAATATATGCCGGCCTTTTAACAATATGCCTGACAGTCCTACAACCTACCTGCCGGGCTTTAAACAATAGGCCTACTGACAGTCCTACAACCAACATGCCAGCCTTTAAACAATAGACATAAACACAGTCTTTAACACTGCCTACCGGCATTTAAACAATAGGTCTACAGACATTCCTACAGGTTGCCCAAAAGATAGTCCTGCAGAGAATACTTCATGAGATCCGTGATTTTGATTAATATGCTAGGCAAAAAATGTGACCTTCTTACATTGGTTGAACCGTCTAGATGGCGCTCGCTGCTTTATAGCGTTTTTTTTTATTTTTATCTCTTTTTGTTTTGTTCATAACAATCACTATAAAACATTGTGAGTAGGGCAGGGCCAGTTGCTATAATGGAGGACCCACGCCACAGGCAAAATATATAAGTGATAGAATTAATTTTTTGGAAAGTTAAAATTATTTTTATCAAAAAATGTTTAACATATTGATTTTAGATATTTAGTTTATATTTAAAAAGAAAGTAAAAATAGATTAAAGTAGTCAAATAACAAACAAATTTGCCTTCCCGTTTCTCAAATTTTTATGAACGTAATTCAAAAAAACTATCATGATAATCAAAAGTAATGACAAAGTAAAACTAAACTTGCTAATAAACTGCATGTATAATTTAAGAAAAGATTTTTTTCAACCAGAGATTAAATTTAACCACCTTTTAATATTCTTGCATCTATAATCATATCTATATATCTTAAGTAATTTAAAGTAAATTTTGATAACATTTAAAACAAATATTTTTCATTAGAATATGGAAGGAAAATGTATAAAATTACAATATAAACTGTGTTTATCTGAACTAGGAAATGCATATACTTTTTTAAATATACAATTTGAAATATTTTTATATGTTTTTAATAATTAAATTTAATTTTTGTCATAGGTTATATTTTATCATTTTTAAAAAGATGTTCAAAAAAATAAATAAATAAATTGAATCATTTAAAAAATGTATGCTATATATATATATATATATATATATATATATATATATATAAATAAATAAACGAAGACTATTTTAAAACATTGACAATCACATTAATATAATTAACCATTTTATAAAAGATTAATACATCCAACTTTTGATTAATTAAGCGAATCATTTCAATCACTTTTAGAAATATTTATTTTTTCTCTATACTGGGAATATAATAATGTGATCTATATGTTTCAATCTCAAATTATCATGATACTATTCGTAAAATGTATTGGCTGTTAAAAATTACAAGTTTTAAGTTATATGTTAATTTCATTTAACATATATTTATATAAGAAGCTTTTATAACACCATTGTCAAAATTTACTATAACCAGCAAACACATTTAAAGCAATGTAAGCAGAAAAAATATTTAATCCGAAAAAAAATTCGTTTCAATTTAGGAATAAATCCTAGATTTTTTAAAAGAAAATGCAAACGAAAAAAAATAGTGAATATTTTTGTCAACAGTGCTATCACACCATGTAAGTTTTGTCTGAAATAGATCTTTAATGGAAGTGAACTTTATATAGTCTAATTCAAATTAATTAACGGCATTCAAATATATAGTTTCAAGACATTTACCGAAAAAATCAATCATATTCCGTTTACAAGTATTAAATATTCAAACTATTCCTTTACATTTTAAACTTGGACAGCACCACATGCATGTGATTAAGGATATTTTTCTATCATATAGTCAAAAAAAGTTTTTTCCAAATATAAATAAAACTTCCCCTGAATCTACATATCATTTACTGAAAAAAAAAAAAATAATAATCGCATAAATTTAAAAAATATAATTTAAAAAATATACCTTAAATGTTCTCCTTTCAAAAGACAAAAAAAAAAAAACAAATACTAATGGATGTATGGCTGTAACGCTCTGTTAAAATGCGCGAACTCATTCCGACCAGTCCAAAAAAATAAAAAAAGTTTTTTCCAAATATAAATAAAACTTCCCCTCAATCTAAATATCATTTACTGAAAAAAAAAAAAATAATAATCGCATAAATTTAAAAAATATAATTTAAAAAATATACCTTAAATGTTCTCCTTTCAAAAGACAAAAAAAAAACAACAAATACTAATGGATGTATGGCTGTAACGCTCTGTTCAAATGCGCGAACTCATTCCGACCAGTGCAATAAAAACCCTGTACATTATTGGTCAATTACTGCGCACGATAAAATTCCTAAATCTAAATGTTTTGGATTAAAACGCCAATAGTGAGTTGGTTTTTTTTGTTTTTGTTTTTTACGGAAATTGAATCAAATTGAATCGTGCAAAATAAAAATTTTAGGAAATGTAAAATATAATTAATTTTTTGTTTTGTTTCTGAATTTAGACATACCTTTTTTTTTTTTAAAATCCCGAGTTTCAACTATATTTGATTCAAATAAAAACCATCACTTGAACGTATAATATTTGTCAAGTGACTTATAAAGAAAGGAAGTTTACGCAATTCTAATGTCATTTCAAGGTGGGTTGTTTCTAGTTATTATGCATTTGACCTACTTTCTTAACCTTTTACATGCATCAACAATGACCTTTATCTGTTGGGACCTACTATATTTGTATTACATTGAGGACACTGTCGGTGTCAGAAACAGACAAGATGCAAATTGCCACATTACGCCCTATCAGGGAGATGGCAGCATATTGCCTTAAAATAGTTAATTTTCATGAATACGAGGATGACATGTTTTTATATCAGTTTAGACCTTATCGGATTATATATATATTTTTTTTTTTTTGAAACAATTTTTCGTTAACTTCTAATAGTGAAACTTCCTCAGACCACAAATAAACGCAAGATCATGTTCGGTGTGCTTTAACTGATCAAAACACTAAGACAACAAACTCACCCAAGATCATGTTCGGTCTGTTTTCACTGCTCCAAACCCTAAGACAACAAACTAACCCAAGATCACATTTGTGATCTTCCAAATGAAAACAAAACAAACCCATTAGCCAATCTGACCGAACGGCTTGATCAAATGTCAATGTACAAACCCCTTAGGCAACAAGCTAAATCTAAAATCTGTTTGGTCACTTTACGTCGAGTAATTCATAAGCGTACAATCCCTAAGCGTACCATCTCTAAGCGTACGATCACTAAGCCTACCATCTTTAAGCGTACCATCATTTAGCGCAACATTTCTAAGCGTACCATCAGTAAGCGTACCATCTCTATGCGAACAATCCTTAAGCGTACCATCTCTGTGCCAACAATCCTTAAGCGTACCATCTGAACCGTCAGACTCGACGCGTTGACTGAACGAATCCCAGCTGCTGCCGTCTGGTAAACTGTATTCGGCGTACACCACCTCGCTCAGCACCACCTTCCTCCTGTAGTCCGTCACGACGCTGCTCCACGACCTGGAACTTCCGCTGGAGCTGCTGCGCAGTATGCTGGAGATAATGTCACTGATTCGTTCGTAGACGTGACGCGATGACGAGGGCGTGTCAGAGCTCCTCTCGCTGCTCGTGTAGGTTTGAGTGCTGTCCGGATACGGACTGGGTGGTGGATCCTTGGTGCCTAGAATGATAAAATACCGTCATATAAATGGAATGGACAAATGCAGCGTTTACATAGTATGTCAATTTAAGAGAGGAGTTAACTTGCGTTGCCAGTTGACCCTAAGCATGCGTGGGGTACGGGTCAGTGTGGAGGGGTATGGGAACACCCAGTAAATCAGGTTGAGTGATATTTCAATTAGCAGCTGAAGATGTTTGTGTGCTGAATGTTGTTTGCGTAATATCTCTTTAAGTTTTTTTTTCCTGTTTTTTTTCCAGCTAGTTAATTACTGAATTAATTAACTACGAAGGAACATATTTTACATCAGTACTTTGGAATGGTGTTTGAGATTATGCGTGTTTTTCTTATCGAGTGGTAGCGCGGCACTTATAATAATTATGAGGCTCATGATTTAGTGTTAATCACGTCTCATCACCATTAGGTGCACTACGTCCCCATGTAGGTCCCTTGCCTGCTCCAACACATCGTTCTATTCAGATCGATCCATTGCTTCCCGTCTTCATGAGCGGACCCCTTGCTTAAGTAAGTCCCTCTATCAAGCCCTCTAAGTCTTGATCATTTGTTCTTTCACTTCCCTACATCTCGGTTACATCCAGTCTAAAAACTACTATTTATCAAAATGGACTTGGCTACATTCATTAAACGAAAGAAAAAAACAACAACACGTTTCTTAATCCCAATCTTAAGTGTCCTTACGTTTTCTCCTGCGGAGAGCAACACCACCTGTGATGATCGTGATGATGATAAAACATCCTGCACCGCATAAGGCAGCGATGACACCAAACAAATCTTTTTTGTCTAACATCACTAACATTTAAAAAAAAAAAAAAAATATTTAATAAATGAAATTATGTCATGCCACAGACGGTTTTCACGATATTTGTTACATAATAATAATAAAGTTCATTTCAAAACACGCTTCATCCCCAAAGGCTCGAAGCGTGGTACAAAGTCAACAAAAAACATATCTATAATTTACCACATTTAAAATAAACGCAACACTACAAAAACTAATTACAAGTCTAGCCATTTCAACCATAAGCAACACAGCCATTATGCATTAAATGGAAAATAAGGTAGACAATCATCGCAGAAGGTGTTTGCGAAATAGATGTGTCTTTAAATAGCACATCAATAAATTGTTGAAAAAATTCAGTAACCACTAACAGGAAGAAATATTGCATTTTAAAACGGTCATGACAATGAACAGCAACATTTATAATGTCTTTTCCACGAACCCCATGGAATGCAAACCCTTTGAGGAGTTATCGACCAAGTATAGGAAACCATCTAATCTTTGATGGATATTAAATTATATCACATATGATTTCTACATGTAGGAACGCAATATGCATTCGTGCGAACCTATTTAACATCGTGCAATATCTCATTGTTTATAAAACATGTTGGATATGGAAAGATACTTAACTGTAAAGTTTATTATTTATTTTATTTAGGAAACCAAAATTTTAACTGATTCAGTATCACAATTAACTATACAAAGAGAAATACATTATGAAGACGCTCACCAAATGAGGTCGCTTGACTAGTTCCACTAGACGACTGCTCCATTTCCACAGTTGCAACTGACATTCAAATTAAAGTTGTGTTTATTTACGAACTCAACCATAACGTAATTAAAAAAATAAAGTTAAAACTCGTTATATCAGTATAACAAAAAAATGTGTCATGAAACTTATGACTTATTAATTGTCTGGTGTAATAAAAAAATGTTACAGTTTTTATACATTTCAAGATTAAGTAGTTAAACTTGTGTTTATGTTTGAGTAGACTCATTTTCCGATCATTTATACTTGTTAAATATTTTTTTCCTATCACTCAGAGAAATCAAGCTTTTTCGGCGGTACGATGAGACATTATTTGTAAGATTAAGAATGTAGGCACAGTCTAGGACCAAACTTCATGTTATAAATTTCCAAACTTATAATATTTATATATACAATTTTTCGTATATATTTGATATATTGAATTATAAAGTTTAAAATAATGTCTTATTTAAGAATGTATTTCAACACACACGTGTTGTAATAATAATCATAAAAAAAAAAAGAACTTGCAGTCAACTTATTTATTTAATTTAATAATTATTTTTATAAAAAATGTAATTTTCATTTTTGCTTTTTTATTAATTCATTTTTAACGTAACTTTAACTTCTCTTAAGTTTTTGCATATTATGATACCATTTTATAAATATATTATATATATATATATCTTTTTTTAAAAATTAGTATAACTTTTTTAAGCAACTTCATTATATCATACACATAGTCGTCTTAAAATATAATACCAATTAAATCCGTGGTATATAAATATATAGTTTCAGAGACTAACTACTACTTTGTTGCAACATACAAAGAGGCATCTCACCAGTCGCCGTTGGTGTTACAAGAACTGAAATCTCAACTGTTTCCTGTACATCTTTAAGATGAAAATTCAAAGATCCCGCGTCTTCGTTTGTTACGTTACTAATGGTAATGGTAAGGTTTCTTTCCAATGTGACCGTAGATAAATCCCCAAAGGAGTAGCTTATCTTGCTTTTTGCATTCCGTTGGATCTCGATACTTTCATGTATACTGTTCAGATTCTCTTGTACAAGACCCTTCAGGCACACGGTAATATTTTCATCTCTTCCAAGAATGGTAGTGATATTAAGTTGGTTGTTTTGATTCTTGCATAGACCAACTGTAATATTTTAAACAAAAACAAGAAAACAAAAAAAGGTTTAGTAAACCACACACGTACGTCACTAGAAGGAGTCCCCTTGCCCCGACTGATTATTTCAACGCTACTAAGCGTAATTACTACGTCAGCAGAAATTTGGACAGCCGAGAGGAGAAGGAATCCACAGAAGCCTCAAAACTAGTGTAGGGCAAAATATATCACCCTACGAAAATATAGCTTCAACAGAAGTTGTCGAATTGCATAGATGTTATATATATATATATATATATAAATAAATAAATAAATATATATATATATATATGTATATATAACAGAAATGTAAAGCACTAATTCATTTTCAAAGTTCTCTTAAGAAATAAGTTTGTTTAGTCAATGATAAAACGCATGTTCGTTACTTTAGCATATTTTCTGTAACTGCAGGAAAATGCAATCTTATATTAATAACATCAATAAACATAGTACATATGCCAGTACATGAATGCAGCAACGTATCCTATCAGAATCAGAACACGAATATTTGGCAATTCCTTGTTGATTCAAAATGATGTGGCTAAAATAAAAAAAATCACCATTTTTGACTTGGTTATATGTTATGGTTTAGTTATACGTTCATGCTATCATGCATTATTTCGACGGTGTTTTTTTTTTAATTGCACAAACCACATTCTAATATTTATGCAAATGTGTCACAAACAACATGTTTTTTTACGAAATACAACCTAAACCAGCAAAATACCTCTTAGTTTTATCTCAAATGTGAAGACTTTATCCAAATGCGGAATGGTAACTTTGTACGGCTTCTTGACATCATCAATTTGGAGTTGACGGATGTGAATTTGAAGGTAGCTCACTTGAATTGTTCTGTTCCAGAGACCGCTCACACTCAACTTCGAGCTAATGTTCATCTGACCGTATTTTACGACATGCTCGGCACCGTTGATATCAACGGAATCGTTCTCGAAGACGACACCGTAATCTTGAACACAGAATGACGTCGTACTGTTTAGGTCAGAGATTGTAGTCGCTGCTGTGGTACCGTGCTGGCAAAACTCGCTAGGGAGGTCTAAGGAAATAGCAAAACATAAATCATGCTTAATTTAAATAGATGTACTTTTTTATGGTTGATAATGTGTGGTATTAATTGGTACGGATGGAAATATATATCTGACGTTGCGGGTAATTTATCATTAAAAAAAAACAAAAGTAAATGCGTAAAAGAAAACAAAAGGAAATATTTAAATATAATAAAATTTTCAAGTATTCTCTAAATCATACGATGCTTTTTATTACTTTAAAAAAAAATGTTATATATCACAGAAAAAAATTGTATGTAAAACTAAAATAAGTTAATTTGAATTCGATTAAAATTAAAATATATGTTTAGAATAACATCAAGATTTGTGCTTAACTCGAATCACATAATTTAATTTAAAAGCTTAACATAAAAAAATAGACAAGTACACATACTTGAAAGCGTTTAAATACCGCAGTACGACATGTTTAACATAGAAGCTGATCTAACTACTTAAAATAGCATTAGAAAGTATTACCTGTCTCTTCTAGTAAATAAAACGTAACATTCCAGTCAAAGTCTTCATCAAACCACAATCTCAACTCATATCGTCCGAAATCGGAATTCTGAACCCCCATCACAGTTACGTTGATTTGACTTTGTCCGTTGATGGAGCTGTTGTCAACGCGGTGCTCGCTAAGAACTTGTGAATCATTATGATGCTTTACCAAACTGATGCTTTTCATTGCGCCAAGGTGATGGAAGCAAAATTTCAATACTTTAGGTTCATCGACTTTAGCTAGAAAGTATCTGTAATCTTGTCGGTTATCACATGGCTTAGGAAATGCAGTTGCTGTGGAAAACAAAAACGGCGAGATCATATTTTTTTTTTTTTAAATAAAAAAAACATGCTTGTATTGCGGTAATTGTAAGTTTTTTAATAATGTTTTAAACATGGTGAATTCACTATGAATAAAGGGAATAAATGATTTTTATTTCTTCATGGACAGTCGTGATTGTATCCCTCCTCCCTTATATGTGGTTAACGGAAATTTGATCGAAAAAAATTTCGTCCACGGCAAATTGATCGACGGAAATTTGATCGAAAGGAAATTTGATCGAATATTTTTTTCAGTTCATACGTTAAAATTTTTGTCAAATTTCTTTTTGAACTCACTTTACTATATATCAAAACAAAATAATGCGTTAAAAAAGAAATTTTAAGCAAAATTTAACGTAAAAACTGAAAAAAATATTCGACCAAATTTCCTTTCGATCAAATTTCGGGACACTCTTATATATATGTCTCTTCTGTGTGGCTGCTTCCTATTTACTACAGGCCCTCCCTTTTCTCAACGTGTTTTATATCTATAGTACTGTGGAGGAAAAAGAAACAGTAGAGCAGAGAACATCCCCTATCTCTTATATATATATACAAATATATATATATATATATATATATATACGCTTCTGGTTTGTCTTGTGGACAATTTCCTAAAGACTTCATCCAAATGGAATGCTTCTTAACGGACTGCTTTTTTAGTAGCGAATTCGGTAATGAGAGAAGATTACAAATGATCATTAAAGTTTGAAAGCAAGTGTGGGGCAATAATGAGTTCAATAGCGCGTAAAATATCAATCCCAATAACTACAATAAATTATTTTTTTTTTAAAAAATCTTTATATAACACAACCGCGTTTAGCGTGCAATATTTTCTTTTCGAAAAAATGAAATCGTCTAAATTGAAGTAAGGTGTTAAAAAATGTTCGGTTTAAAAATAGTTGGGGCATCAGAATATTTAATATAGTTCATGGGTTTGAAAAAAAGTGTGCTGTTAGGTATCATGGGGGAAGGTTTGTAGAAAAAATATTGGGATTCTTAAATGTGCGTTACTTCATTTCATGCTTTGTCAAGTAGCTTTAGTAGAAGAAAATACACGCATAGCTGTCGCCAATGTTCGGACCCGGTGCAAAAAAAAACAAAAAAAAACAACTGCACCCGGATAAGCCCTGGTTTTAAATAATTTACATCAATTGTATTTTCTTGTGTACGTATTTAAAAGTAACTCTGGATTTAGTAAAAGGAGGCAACAGCACACAACTGAGCATATAGCTTATGTCACGTCTGTTTATTCATTTGAAAAATTGGTTAAAAGATACCCAGAGACAGTAGAGCTGAAACAAAAGAACAAATAAATCAAGGTTTTTAAGATACTCACAAACGTGTTTTATGAGTACAGTAGGTTGTATCCTCAATTTAGAAGCAGGACTGAACATAAGTTGGTAGCTAACGTAGGGCTCTTTTGAGACCGACGGAATAACGATCAGAAGGAATTGCATGTTCCTATGGTTTGGCGTCACGCTGACCTCACGCACGTTGTATGGACCTGTGTTGGCGTCACCGTTGATAAAATACACGGTCCTGTTGATGCCGATGTGGTCGACTCTTCCGTGGTCTGACGTGACACACAGGTGGAACATAGTGGTCACGTTAGTGTACACTGTCACGGTCTTGTTCATCTCTTCTCCCGGACATAGCCTGAGACTATCTAAAGCAATGATGAAATGAGACAAATATAATTATGTCTTTGATGAACACAAAATTAATATTGCATTATGCACTCAATATGAGGTATTGGTACGATTATCTCAAGCGTTAATATTTTAATATATGTCCCGATCACCGGCTACAACTTATATGTTGTGTAGTTATTTGAATATATTGTGAGCATTTCTACAAATGTTCTGGTGCGGCTGTTCTAAACAATTAGTAGCAGGAGCCTGAATGATCAATTTATTGATGGCGGGCCATGAAAATATAGAAAAACAGTTGCGTATGTATGCAACTAAGATTAAATGTAATCGTAATGTTTTTAGCTATTAGACAAGTCACTATTGTGTTATTTTATTTAATTTATGTCACGTCTTTTATTATATGTTTTCAAGTGTTTTTATATATAAAAATAACTTAATTATGTTAATCGAATACTTTTGCATATATTTTCATTTAGAATTTGTTTTTTGACCATTCAAAATACAAAACAACAACAAGCAGGAAAGGTTTCCTCTGTCATAATAAAACTATAAAACATAGAACTTCTTTTGTTCCCCCCGTGTGTCCTATCCGTGTATCTTTATACCCTTAATTTTACATAAAAGAGTGTAGGCATCCACTTACCATTTTTAAAAGAAACTGTGAAGTGGTAAACACAGACGGATACATTGCTTGCAGTAACGTTCACCGTATACTTCTCTACGGCTCCGACCGTCAAGTTGATCACATGGATGGTGTAGCATCGACTCTTGGCCAATGTCTCGTTGACCCGAACTATGTAACGACGTAACGTGTTCGCATCGGATAGGTTTATAGGTTGTTTGTTTATTTTGATGACATCATCGATCTTTTCGTCAGCTCCAACACAAAACTCAGCAGTCGCTGTATGGTTAACATCTACAGGGTATGTAGCGTTAGCGCTGTCCTTGCACAACTTGCAGTCTAAAAGAAAATACTGGCTAATCAATCTTATTTATACATGAATATTTTTTAAAAATGTCAACAATTCTAGTTTTATTGCAGTTTAGTGTTTCTGTTTGGACAAAAAAAATGTATCATCGTTCCGTGTAACCACTCCACTGTCAAGATTTGTTTTTTTTTTTGTTTTCTTTTCTGGACTATTCAAAATAAAGAAATTGAGCAACAGAAACATTTTTGTGTTTCAGCTTAACACCTTGAAAAGAGACAACCTGGATGAAAATGCATGGAGATCGAAAATTGTTTTGCTGAAAGATTTCACCAGCGAAGGAAACAATAAAAACTACAAGGAGTCAATGTTGTTATTGATGATGATGGCCTTCATTCCGAACGATGCTTCGACTGTCGTCTATCTTAACACAAGCTGTCGCGTATCTTGAATATATCAATTATTTTATTCACATGTCTTGAACGCTCTCCATATTATATTATCCTTAACAAGTTACATGACATAAAGTTAAATAAAATTTAAGTATTATCATTTCATTTCACTGAGGAATTTAGTGGCATGGGGGTTAAAGCCAGTTAATTTAATCATGGTACATACTTGAAAATTGTATCACATCCATGGCTACCAACAGCAAATATGAGGTCCACATTTTCACCATCTTCTCTGTTTATTCTTTATTCAAGTACTATTGAAATAAAAGAAATGTGTTCTCTAAAGAATACACTGAAGCTCTTTCTTTCATTATAGGGTGTCATAGTTACAAAACAAAACAAAAACAAAAACAAAAAAAATTAAATTCCACAGAAGCTATCGTTCCATCAAATACCATTCTAACAACTATAGTTTCCATTTTTTATGAGCTCAAACAAAAAAAAAAGATTTATAACGTCATTCTGTCTGATTCACTTAACTTCTTTATTCATTGCATGAATCTGTCCATAATTCTTATCACATTCTAACTGCGTGTCTTATGCCAAAGTATATATACTGTTTACACGAATCAAAATAGAAAAAAAACATGACAGACAAAAAAGACAAACATAAAAGCGTCAAATGTAACCGTAATGAACTCCATTCCTCTTGATCGCGTCGTGCGTATGTTTAAGCTTGCTGGCTACATCTACAACGTGTTCTTGGTAGGGAAAAGGAACATAAGGTCGAAAGTTTTGGGAAATCGGTCACTCGAAGGACCATCGTCCTGGCCTGTACGTGAGATATTAAGTCATTTAAATTTGGGAACGTTTTAATTTTTTTTTTGGTGTAAAGTTGGGAGAAAAAATTACAAAGACGTTTGCAAAAGATGTCACAAGGTACACAATAATGCTGTCCATTGTTAGGTAACTTTCACGTTATCGATGTTAATTGTGTTATCAGAGGGAATGTCTATTTTGGTACCGGGGAAAGGTTCTACAGTGTTGGATTATGCTAGATATGATATCCAGGATGATGTTAGTGGACATATAATGCTGTGATGTACGAGTATCCAGATTTTCATAGGAATGAGTGGTTCTGCGAACAAATTCACATTCCTCAGTACTTCTCCAGACAAAGCAACTAGTAACGATTTTAAAAAAAAAATGTTTTGTTCTGGTCTCCCTTTTTTTATTCAAGGTCATCTTTTACTTTCACTTACTTTATGCGAAATTATTGCTCGACAAATAATAATTTCCTACTCGATGAGACTCATTCCCAACAACAAATCCCAATCACTTAGTCATTTTTTACTTGTATCTTCACGTGATAGCTGGCCCTGTGCATCGTTGACAAGTAAGGGTTTATTTTAGTACTAATAATGATGATGCATATATATATATATATATATATATATATATATATATATATATAT